TCTCCTTGCACTGTGCTTGTGCTAGGAGAATATACAAATATGTTGTATATACTTTTGTCTATGTTTTGCTGTATGATGTGCAAACTCGAGGTGATGGCCTCGTCAGGAGATACGTTGGGGTCCCTTAGCCGCACCTCAAGGACCTTTGTACTTTGTATTTATGTCCGGATAAACTTTGATTGACTTCGATTGATTGATTTTAACTCAAGTTGGCAAAATATATCACGTCTGAACATTACGAAGGATCTTCCAAAAAACCCAATGCCTGTGCGCTCGTCACCTGTAGATTTCCAGTACAGGGTACAGTTTAAACCCTTAAACATGCGTAGTCCGCGGGCTATATATAGTCTGGTAAAATACGATACTCGATGGAGCGGCCTCGGAGAGGATGCATCGTGGGAAAATTGTCTTTTCGGACACGGAGTTTTCAAAACGTTGTAGCCGAAATTTGGGAAGCATATTGGCCCTATCTCCTGCCAAAATACAGGCCATGGCTCTTGCTGTAGGTGCTTGGAACCCGTTTCCGGCTGGTGTGTTTACTGCGTCCCAAAAAGTGGCCCATTCATTCGGAGTGTCATATTGACGCCGGCCGCTCTCATGGCTGTGTCAGAGTAGCGAGTGCGGATGTGGCAGCCGCCTGTTCCGCTGCAAGTCGCTCTCCAGAATGACTGTCCACGGCAGCTTCGGCAACCAAGAGTTGAGACCCCGCGACGACAGCGACACTCGCGCTCCCTCGTAATTTTTTGCCGGAACTTCCAGCACCAATCGCCAGGATCGCGACATGCGACAACATGACACGCCGGCTTTTGTGGCGCCATTTGTTGCCAGTTCGAAACAACTTTCCCAGCATGTGCGTGATGTGGGACTCTAAACACACCAGAAGGAGACGGGTCCCAGGCAGCGTTTCTCGGCTACCGCATCCACGTACCCGCTTCAGTTTGCTCGAGTTGAAGGCCGGTGTTAGGAGCGTCCTCAATGCCCGCCACCTGCCACCGTAAAGCCTCGAGAGTTTCTCGTCGTTGACTGGAATGCCACTGGACATCTCGACGTATTGCTGCAGATGAAGCGCCATCTTCAGTAAGCACTGAAACCTTAATATCATCGCGAGGCACCTTCACTGATGTTCTTTTTTGCATTTTACCCATTGTAAGTCTATCTCAAGGTGCTATACACATACTGTTATAGGGTTTTTTTCCTACTTATGGTACTGCTTATGTATTTGTGTTTCTCCAGAGTCGTCTAGAGAACCACAAATACCTAAGCTTAGGAAATACTCATTCAGCGGCGGTCACCGCCGTGGTCACAAACCATACAAAAAACAGCCTGCAAGCACTTTGTGAGGCCTTCCTTACATGACGGTCGTTTTGGCCATACATAAACTGCCTGCGGACATGATCGAAGCACACATATGCATAAAGCAAACACATGCATCGAAGATTCTTGGCACGTGTCCGCAGGTAATGCTCTTATCATGTCTGCAGCAAACACCTTGAGTCTTTTGTACAATGGGTGATCAAGGGGATTGCCTGTTTGCAGGTTTCGACTATTGGATTGAAACACTACCAATGCATATCTGCAATCATTGCAGCCGTCAACAAGCGGCACGTTTAAGATTCAATTTGCAGACATTAATACTGCGTGTCGTAAAAAAAATCCGTAACAAAAAAAAAGCCTCAGCAACTTCGGTCAAGAACATGAACTCGTGAATTCTGCCGGGCGTTTTTGATTTTTTTTTTTTTTTAATATTATATTACCTTAAAGTGGTTTAGTTTCGAATACTTCGGGGGGGGGGGGGGGGTAGTGATTATCATTCTCGACTTTTGCAGTGACAGGATTAGGCGGACCATATAACAACAAATAGAAATGCATTATAATTTATCTAGGGTTCCGTTAAAAATTGCAAACGACAACGCAAAATTTGGTGCGCTCGACAGCAGCAGCTGTTACGTTCCTGAAAGAGCTGGCTTAAGGCATTTGCTTCGGGAGCTTTGCGTTTGGAAGAATAGTTGTCGGAGATGTGATTATTTGTAATGCTTTTTGTTATGGGATGCACTTTCATGTCCTGGAGTTTACGAGATGTCTTTGTATGAAATCTGTTTTGGGAACATGCGCTCTCGGCAACAAACTGAGACGTGCTTTTTGGTTGAAAGGCTCGTATGGAATGTTTTGTAGACGCGCCGGGGAACCCACCAGGGACCCGAAGTGGCAGCGGTTTCGGAGATGCGGCCATCTACAAAGGGAGCGATACCGCGTCTTGTCATAGATGACCTGGTTCTTCGAGGGGCGACGGTGGTGGGCGGAGAGCGATTGCGCGGCGGCGACGGGGCGGCGCGTCCTCCGAGGCCACGGGCGTTTTTCATACAGACGCCGTCGGATTTCACCGGGAAAGGCACTAACAGCTGCCGCTGTAAAATGTGGCCTCGGTAAAATTGAGCAAATGTGTGATACAATTTTTGATGGGCACAGTCGCGCTCCATATAATCATGGCAATCTGTAGGCGAGCAGCAATTGGACTCGAAGTTTTTCAGTGTTGCCAAGTTCATTAACCATAGCAAATCGCCTGAGTTCCGGTGCCTCTTTAATTGCTTCGTTTTGTTGTGGGCTCATGCCCAATCATATGCACGCTAAGAATTTGTAGAAAGCTATAGCTACGCATATCGCGTTTCCCTTAGTTTTAGATGTATACCACAACAAAAATTTGTGAGCGTGGGAAACCATCCCTATGCTGAGTGCAAGTTCGTCTTCTTCTTTTGCAGGGATTGCGGTGAAGTCAGAACGCCGAGCGTCGATTGGCTCGATTGGAATTAGGGATAGTGAGTAGACCGGAAGGTAGCTGGCATAGAGGTCTATACACACTGTCCTTCCAATCAAAGCCAATACGAACTCGGCGTTCAGACGTCACCGCAACCCCTGCACAAGAAGCCAATACGTGCACTCTGTATAGGCCTACACACTGTTCAGAAATAAGTCAGCGTTTGGCGGAGTAAAACGGCTGCGCTTGCTCCATGCCGAAAACAGCGCCACCACAGCGGTGTTACGTCAGGGCCATGTGCAGGCGTATAAAAGAGCATGTAGCAGCACAAGAAGGAGGAAGAATCCCTCCTCCAACGCACTCTGCAATAAATAATTGGCGGAAGGGTGGAAAGGAAGAGAGGCTTTTAGAGTGAAGCTTGTCGTGCTGTCCTTAAAGAGGCCCTGCAATGACTTTTTTACTAATTTTTAATTTGCACCGAACCTGAGCGCACTGAACGTAGTAACTTAGTGACACTTTTCTTTTCTCGAAATTCCCTTTATTTTTAAAAGTTATAGGCAAATTAAAATTACAAAAACAAGCAAAAAACAACCTCCCTCATGACGTCCTTGGTAGCTTGAGAGTGCCGTGAACTGGAGGAGATGTAGTGAGCTCATCAAGCGCTCACGGCTGCCGCACTCCGAGTCGACAACGCGAGAGGGCGCCATTGAAGCGTGTTCTGGATAGGCTGTATGCATTTGGCAGCCAGAGCGGCTCTCATTGCATTTGCTGCGGGATTAAATACTAATTCGGCATGACACTTCATTGGCCATAAACGACAGCAAACACGGGGTAAAGATCAGTTCAGAACGGGAGCCACTTCGCGCTGCCATACCGCCAAAGGGCTGAATCGCCAGCCAAGCCCGCGCCGAGAGCCTTGGGAACGCTCGGAACCGGTCGGATCCTCGAGCCGGCATACGACCGCAGCGCCCCCGCGCACATCCGGGACCTTTCCGTGTCGGCACCTCATCCCACTATTCCTTTCTAGTATGCGCCGCTTTTTCCACCGCTTGGTGGCGGGTAGGTCGACGGGTCATTTCTTGTTTCCATACTTTATAAACTGCATTCGTATCTTTTTTTATCTAAAATACTGAACAAAAGCTACTTTATAAATAATTGAAACGGTTCGCGCCACTTATATTTTGTATTTCGACTAAAAAGAAGCTTTTAGCGGCTCTGACCAGTAGTAAGCCCAGGACCAAAGACGTCACATTTTGTGCGCTTTCGGTACCGCGGTTCGCCCTCGTCGGTGGAGGAGGTTTCCGCGTCGTCCGGTTAAAGTAAGACGCACTGATATTTAGTTACTCTCTCCGTGCCCGCTGGCTTGCCCGAACCCCAAGAGACGTGGAAACCGCAAAAAAGGTGGACGCTTAAATATGATTGCAGGGCCCCTGGCCCTGCAATCATATTTTGGCTTGCCCGAACCCCAAGAGACGTGGAAACCGCAAAAAAGGTGGACGCTTAAATATGATTGCAGGGCCCCTGGCCTGCAATCATATTTAAGCCACAGGACGTAATTTAGTCGGAGTCACAACCTCTCCACACTTGAAGCTCCCGCTCTTTCGACGCGCCCGGAGTGGCTGGTGTACGCCACTCCGTGAGGTATAATACCAACTTTGTGACGCCCGATTGAAAACGGACGAAATAGCCGCAAACTGAGATCAGTGTCGCTCAATAAATATTGCTGTAAATGATTTTTCTCCAGGAAAAATTGTTTTTTGACATGCTTGTCTAAATTAGGCTAATTAAACAAAAATAAACTTTTTTTTTCAGTTACCATTTAACCTTCAACAGGCTATATTTTTTCGCACAGTGAAAATTCCGTCTAAAGCACCGAAGTATTGGATGACTTAAATATAAACGATACATCGGCAAATTTTATATTTATCGACCGAAATAATTTTAATTCAATACAATATAGGAGCTGCCGTTATAGGCAGCCCTTATACTGTTTATTTGACGTCCCTTAGCAGTGTGTTCCACTGCAGTGAATTCGGATTTAGCGAGCAATATCACTTCAAGTAGTAATTGCCAGTATAGCTTCACAGTGAGTGTTCTAATCAAAATACGACGTTTTATGTTTGTGCAACCTTCGCGATAGCCAAATAAATGTGCCTATTATAAGATGAATTTCGCACCTGTCTTGCCGAGAAGTTCTCGAAGTTTCTAATAAATATTTGCCTGAGCAATTCGGGGTCTCGTATGATCATCACGGGTCTGAAGCCATCAAAGTATCTAAAAAAACAAAGAAACCACACACACACAATAATGATATGATTGCAGAAATTCAATGGGCTATTAGAATACTTTTCTGTGTATCATAGTAGTGGATTATTGTTATTTCCTTTAACTTTCCCCAACAAAAATAATTGCTACATTATTACAATGATTGTTAGTGGGGGAATGTTGTACCGAAGATGACATAAACCGCCTTTGTCAAAATTATTTTTCGGCATTTGTCTGTTACCAGGCATTTGAGTTATCCGATAGGATGTCCACAGTGTGCCTCGGCGCTCTAAAACAAACCGGAAACATCAACGCCTGTACATAAAGCAAGCCCAAACGTTTACTGAATGTATATTGATGTGGTCCATTCTTGTGAATGAAATGTTAAGGCACAGCTCTCTTCCTGTGAAAAATTACAACACAAACCTCGTCAACGTCAAAAGCGGACGACAGAGATAGCGATACTTGTGACGCTTGGAGTTATCTCCCAAAAGGCGAAAGGACGACACGTCGTCTGCGGTTTGCACGGTTCGGGAAGTGGTCGGACGCCTTACAAGTATCAATAACTCGGTCATCTGCTGGCCCGTGTGTCATTGACCCAGGTAATTTTTTTTTTGTATTTTTATTCAAGAGAAGGAAGCTAAGCTTTGAAATTTCATCAACGGGAATCCACCATATTAATGTCCATGGGGAGAAAGTTTGGGCTTCCGAATGCCCAAGCACTGATTTTTCCGGCTCCTTTTATATCACAAAGATTCATTGCGGACATCCCATACAATAAAACCGGCACTTTCGTTAACCACTGCTTCCCAATGTGCCGACAGACGTCTGAATATAACATCTGATTATCTGAATGATTTCCGGTTGGAACAAAGTAAAACAAAGAGCAGAAGAATATGGCTTTCCAAGCTCTTTTTTTTTTTTTTTGGAGGGGAAGACATTGAAAACTTCAGGTGAGAAAGGTCATGGTAGATTTTCTGCTACACCTGACCGCGAGTGGTCAGGGTGCACACTGTTCAAGTCGCGAAAAAAGAACACTTTTGTTTCCGTTTTCAATGATGGGTCACCTAATCCAGTTAACGTTTTGTATAACTTTGTCTTAAAGAAACTTATTCTTCGTTCTTTTTTTTTTTTTTTTTTTTGAGCAAAGACCGGGCATTTGCTTCACAGTGTATACAAAGAGAAGTTTCGGCAAGCAAAATAAAATATGTTAATCTACAGTTACCCTGAGACGTAGGAACAATAAAAAAGTGTGGACAGAACAACGAAGTTTTATTATTTAATTGTTTCTACGTCTCAGGTTCATTATAGATGTCATTTATTAGCTCGTCTGCGTTTTTTACTTTTCGTCACATGTTTATCTAATTTAATGGACGGTCTGAACCGTTGTACTTATACATATTAAAGAACATTCAGGTTAGTTATTTTTATATGGCGTAGACTTTTTCTAGAGCTGAAGGTCACAAGAGAGACTGGCAACCCCAATTACCCAGTGATATCGCCATATTTGGAGGCCCATTTTTCTGTTGCTTCCAAACTGCCCTGGAAAAGAGACACAATTTTTCAGGGATACGGAATCAGAAGAGGCATCACAATAACATGTCATTTGAGCAGCACTGACTTCAAATAGACACCGCAACGAAATTAACTTTTGAAAATAAATGTGTAATGGCAAAGCAAAGAGTGTGTAATGGCAAAGCAAATCACGGTATAGTTTTCGACCTCCAGTCATGACGGCCTCATCAGCCACGGCATGACGTTGTTAAGGGCGATATTCTAGTGCACTACCTCGGTGCACAATTACCTGCACATTTTTAATGGAATCTTCAAACAACCTTGAAATCTAGTCTGGAATAAATAAGTTCAAAGACTCTTTGTAGTCGCCAAGATTTATCAGGAGCAGCGTCCGTAGCGCCTTCTGCCCGAAGTCGATCCGTCGAACACCTCCACTTCTGTGATGACCGAACCAAAAATCATCAGTCATGGGTGAACTCAGAGTAGAGTCACAGTGATATCTGCAAAAGCTTATTGAACCCTAATGCATCCTTATGTATCATGGAGCAAACCTGTCATGAACACATGATGGCCTTGTATAGATGCGCCCTGCTTCATCTGCCGCGGGCGGCGCTCTACGTGGAAGAACCATCGTAGATATCTGCTCGTACATTGCCACACTACTATATCTTACGCACGCAGAAGCCACCTAACAGACGCGGCATAAAACTGAAGTGGCATGATGTAACGTCACCGCAACTGGGGCCATCTAGCGAGGGCTGCGCGAAGCACATATGTGAAGTCGTCCCTCGCAGATGCGCCTTAAATCGTTTCCTAAAAAAAACGCGTTTTTGTTTAATTTTTTTCTTCCGCTTCTATGCATTTGGACACGTCGACCACGGTCGTTTATACACGAACTCAACTTTGTGACGCCACAGCGCGGTCGTGGCGCGTCGGTCGCACTTCCGGTCTCGGGCTGCGGGCAGAAGTCCCCATGCCAGACGTGTATTCTTGCCTTGTTTTGAAAGGAACCAGACAAAAAACCTGCCTTCTCGTCGTAATGCCGCGACTGGGGCCGTACCAAAACTGCCGAGAAAGTTTTGAAGGTCATTTTTCACGTGCTCGGTTCGTCCGAGAATCTGGATATGCGCCGTGAAAAGAGAAAGCAGACGCCGTCGGACAACTATTGCTCTGGCGGGAAGCATTTTAAGTTGAATTGACGGATAATTGTCGTGATCAGATGTTTTTTTGTTTTTTTTTTGTTCCAACATCAACGCCAGAAAACCGTCAAGGACCACGTGCGGACTACGCTCAGTACGTCTTCAAGTTCAAACGGCCGCCTGATCGTTCGAACTGTCGTCTGCTCTTTCGAACGTTTCTGCTTGTTGTCTGCTCTTTTGGACGACGCCGGCCCGTAACCGAATGTTGGCCCAGTACTGGCGGTAAGAAGTGAATGCAGGCCTCAAAAGACATGCGAATCAGGCTTTAGCGTACATACTGCGGCGTCCACGCGGAATGAATCGCCACATGTCACATTATTCACGCGAAGTTTTGCGGTATAACGAGCCTCGATAATTTCGCTGACGCCGCTCAAGTAGTCAGACACATCGCTAGGAAGACGTAGAATCAACAATTCAAACGCGAAAAAGGGCAGGGAGGCTCACACCGAGGCCGACTAGAGCACTATATAGCTCCTACGGAGCAGAGTAGCGCAACCCTTTGATCCGCGTGTTTCGCCGACAACATGGTTGACAGAGCAGCTCGGCGCGAGTCACGTGGTACTCAGGGTTCCAAGAGGCGGCCCGCTCTATGGGAGAATACATGGTGATCGACTCAACACGGCTGATTAAAAAATAAACGCCGAGTTCACACTTTTCAAAACTAGCCTGCCGTGAAGATGGTAAAACACTAAACACTTTATCAAAGTTTTAATAATATCGGATGCGTGTCAAAATTGTGAGAAGGCAATTTCCATGGCAATGGTGTTTGAAGCAGACGATTGTTTTGCGCAGCGGAGATGGACTTTATGGATTGGCCGGAGAGGGTCACGTGAATGGTGTGACGTCGCCGCGTCGTCTGCTGCGTGATGCCGCTCAAGCATTTTTTTAAAACAAATTACGTTATTACATGGCACACAACTTAGCGAAAATTATTGGAAACTGTTCCTTTATTATGTCAAAAATTATTGTCGTTCCGTACATTCCCAAAATATTCAAGAAACGGCGATTTTCTCACGTTCCCCATGCATTTGTGACCGGAGTTGGAACCCTCGGGCGTTCGCCGCTAGTCGCCGAGAGATGGCGTTCTCGATTGCGCTACTCTGCTCCGAAGGAGCTATATAGTGCTCTAAGGCCGACAACATCGCATTTCAATGGTTTGTTCATGGGCGACGACGAGCTTCTTGCCCACACCCCCATCGTGCATGCGCGGTGCCGGTGGCGTCCGCTGAGGGCGCTCCGCTTTGTTTGTAAATACGAGTTGGTGTATGCATGTGTTTCCCCGTGGTGTGTCTGATGGTAACAACAGGCTACGAACATGAGCGATGCCGTCTGGTTGTGGTTTTAGAAGCGATCCAATCGCAGCTTGAAAACCTCCTGACTGCTGAATAAGCAGGGGAGCATCCGAAAGTGTTAGAGAGGGCAACCGGAAGCTGGTTTCCTTCAGCCCGTTATTGAGAACGTGACTCGGAAGACGGTACAAAAGCTAAAAAAGTACTCCAAAATATTTTGTTTTCATTTTTAAAGCAAGGAATGCTTGTAATTGAAAGCCTTAATCTCGAAATTCTATACGTCCGTGCAATTTCCCGCCACATTTAACGGAATAATTAATGCCACGTGACGTCATGAAGTGATGTAACACCACAATAAACAAGACCATGTCACGTGATGTCAACTTTCCCCGCTAAAGTTAATGCGGAAATCGACATCAGGCGACCTAATATCGCGGTGACTTGATGTAAATTGAAATTTCGCAGCTAAAATTAGCGCAAATATTGACGTCACCTGAACTGACCTCACGTGACGTCATGATTTGACCCAGTGACGTAACGTCTTGTTACGTACATTTCTCAAATAAATTTAGCGGGGAAAATTTAAGTGACATAGCCTCGTCAATTGTGCATGACATCTGATTACGTACGTGGTGTCCATTTTTCTAATTAATTTCGTAGTGAACCAGCAAACGATGTTGTCCACTCCCGGAAACGACTCTTTAATTTCTTCTAAACAATATCGGACGGTTATTCCTGAACTACTGCATTCATGCATTAAAGGACATTGGTAATAAAGGTCGGTTGCCGTTGTTAAAGTAAAAGCCAGTGCATGCATGTAAAAATGGATCTCTGTTATTTATTATACAGCTGACAAGGCCTAACTCCTGCAACCGAGAAACCGAAGTTGCCAATATTGTGGCACTAGTTGTCCTTTTTGATATTGAGGCTGAGGTGTACAGTTAACAAAGAAAAAAGACAGCATACACATCGCGGTGTGTATGTTGTGTTTTTTTGTGTGTGCTAATTGTGCGCTGTGAAGTCGGGAACATGTTCAGCCGACTCGCCTAAGATGTACTTTTGACAACAAAAAACCTTTATGTTTTCAGAAATCTGCCCCTGAACACAATAAGCCGCTAAAACAAAATTTTGATATTTTAGTGTTTTTGCAGATCCTTTTGAGTTTTTTTATGTGGAATGAGGTAGCAGTCTTGTTTTCGGGTGTTTTTTTTTTTTTGTTTTGTTATATAAACAATATTTGTAGAGACATCGGCTGCGTGAGTTCGAAAGTTTCTTAATTGCAGCTCACCAAGCAAAGGTGTCAATGAATTTACTGCAAAATGAGGTACCATTTCGAGGATTTCAAGCAGATTTCCATAGATGGGGTGAGGGCTTGGTCCCGGTACACCCAGGTCTTTAAAGAATGTCGCCTTCTTCTTGCACGACTTGTAAACACTGCAGAAAAAGCGATGCAATCTTTGAGGGACTATACTTCAACCAGTGAACTTTACACTAACGGGCTTTGACAGGGTGCACTTTTTTAACCATCGTCATCATTGTTTGCGACGCAACGGGTAGCAGAGACGGCGCAGGTCGTGGTTCTGTGGCAGGGATCTCCAAGCCCCAGCCCTTCGAGGTCTTCCGAGCGGCCCGGGGCAGGCTGTGGTCCTTCCAATGAAACCCGTCCTTCGTAACGCAGTCCGTGGCCCGCTTCCAGCAGGTCCCGCTGCTAGCGGCGCCAAAATGAGCGCACGTAAAAGAACGGCGTCGCAACAGGCACCAACAGCGTAAACCTAGAGAGCCTCCAAGAAGTATTCGGGTATATGAACAGTAAGGCATATGCATTTTGGAGCCAAGATACAGAAACTGAGATACATTTTCTATGGTTTTTTTATATAGAACTGGATATTGCTGAGATACTTCCGCAAAAAAACCAAAAACATTATTTAAGAATACAGGCACAGATTCATAAATACATTTTTTTTGCCCGAACACGGGTAGGTGCGGAGGGTGCAGTTCGTGGTGAATGCAAGTGGCAGGCATTGTATTCCTCAAGTTCATGCCGGTTTATGCATGTCCCCTTACATGGAGCTTTCTTATCTATTTACGGATAATGTCTCGAATGCATATAAAAAATATTGTAGCCCCCAGTGACCCACAGGTACTGGAGGTAAACGACGACTCGCCATGCTTGAAAGAACCCGTCGGCCCAAATTCCTTGAAGGCGTGTCTTTCCTTGAAGGCGTGTCTCCATTTGAGACACACCTACACAGCAAAACAGGATTGTGGGGGAGTTTATCCTGCTATTCTTGCAAGTTAATATTCTTCCTGCCTCCTTTGTTCTGCCTGGTACCTTTTCCTTTATCTTGTTTTGTGGCAATAATTTTTGTTATGATTTCCTTGGTGATTTTCCGACAATTAGGCTTTCCCGCTGCAGTTATAGTTGTGCGGCGAAAGCATATTGCAAATTCAAGGACCCCTTGAAGCAAAAAGTGATGTTCCGTTTGTCATTAAAAATCGACGGGTAATTTTTCACAGTAAATGTCATGAGATCCCCGAGCCTGGCAGTGTACTACAATAAAAGGGGTGTATAAAATAAACTCCTAAGAAACATTTTTAGGGCTCAAGTATCGAAGCGCCGGTAGTCTTCGTGTACTATTTTCTACCGAAATGAAAAAGCTGTATAATGAAAATAGACTATCCAGCGCTTTCCCCCACTACAACGCCTATTGCGGTGAACCTGTAGTGTATATATATATATATATATATATATAACAAAGTGAAAAACTCACGGTGAAAAACAACAAACTGCGGAAGTTTAATCGACAGTTTCGTCGAGAGACTCGGCTTCGTCAGGAGATTATATATATATATATATATATATATATATATACATATATTTGGAGGAAATGAAACTAAGGAACGAACGTATCATCAAGTTGAAGAACGGCAAGTAAAACTCTAGAACCTCTCGCGTATGTAGTAAACACTTCAGTTAAAGTCACGTCGTGTATCTTTTAGTAACTCTGCCTTTTGTCAAAGCTGGTCGTTTAGTAGTTTAAAGTTTTTGGTTTGTTTTTGTTTTAATTTAGTGAACCAGTGAGGAAATATTTCCTCAAAACAACTAGTTGGAAGATGCGGTGACTTGCTTCGGGTGTCGGGGAAATAAAAAGGCTTAGGCAGGAAGTGAACGAACTGGAACGCCGAAGCCCGAAACAAAATCTAGAAATTCACGGAATTCCTAAGACTGACAACGAGGATTTGCTTGCCAAAGTGAACGAGGTTGCAAAAAAACTTGAAGTGCCAGACTTAGATCTCAACGAAGTGGCCGCTATCCATCGCTTATCATCCCGAGCAGATAAAATACCAGGCATCATTGTTCGCTTCGCTCATCAGACAATCAGAGATGGCTCAGTAAACGGCAGATTCTAAGGAAATCAAAAGACGATGCTTACATTCAAGAAAAGTTCACCAAACAAGACCGAGCCCTTCTTTGGGAGACAAAAGAATGGGCCAAAACAACGAATTATCGGTACGTCTGGTACAAAAACGGTCACGTCCTTGTGCGGAAGAAGGATCGCGAGCAAGTGCACGCGATCAGGTCTGTGGATGAATTAGAGAAGCTGGTGTGATGCCTCATGTGACACGCACTCAGTTTTAAGATGTTCGGTTTTTTTTTTTCCTTTTAAATGGATGGCACGGATAGTTTTTTGAATAAACGGAACTTTATGTCCAATGACTATTTTCTTCCTTCGAATGTAAAATCTTTTTTAGGAAACGAGTATAATCGATTCTCTTAAATGCTTTCATCTGAACGCTCGATCAGCGCGAAATAAAACAGACAAGCTTGAATTATTTTTGATCAGTTCGAATTTTCGTTTGATATAATTATGCTTTCAGAGACGTGGTTTACGCATAATACTAACGTTTTAAATTTACCAATGTTCAACAGTTACTTTTAAACCGCACAGAATGTCGTGGCGGGGATGTTGGCCTAATAGTAAAGGCTGACATTTCCTGTGAGATGCTATCTGATTATTGCTGAGTTCACAAAGACTGCGAGGTGCTGTCTTTACTGATGGGAGAGAGCATTATAGCTGTCTGTTATCGCCCGCCAAGCGAAAACTTGTCTTCCTTTTTTGCTTACTTGGAGTCTTTTCTCGAGTTCGCGAATGAAAATAAATACAACGTAATCTTGGGAGGCGATTTTAATGTTAATATGCTACTTGACACATGTAAATCACAATTCGATGCGTTAATCAAATCAAACGGATGTGAAAATATGATAAATACTGCTACGAGAATCACAACGTAATCATCGACATTATTAGATCTATTTATTACAAGCAACGATACATCATATATCAAATCTGGCGTAGTGATAGCTGATATAAGCGATCACTTGGGTATATTTTTGTGAATAAAGAAAAATCAAACTATAAACATCAAATATAATGATCAGTTAGCTATACGGTTTCAGAATATAACGCTTGATAACATGAACGAATTCAGACAAAAACTATCTTGTATGGATTGGGACGATGTCCTTTATGAAACGAAAGCAGATAAAGCACATGACTTGCTCTTGAACAAATTCAAACAACTATATGAAAGCTGCTTTCCGTATAAAAAATTAATTACTCATAGAAAAATTCGTACACTGTGGATTACAAAACAATTGATCACAAAAACTCGTTCTAAAAATGCGTTATATCAAAAATTTGTAAAACCAAAATCACTCGAAGAACTAACAGTGTTCAAACGTTATCGAAACCAATTAAACAAAGAACTCCAAAGTGCCAAGAAAATTTATTTTTGTGACTTTTTTCTTTCTTGTAATAATAGAGTCGACGTTGTGTGGAAAAAACTAAAGTCTGTATTGGGTCGTTCGTGCGCCACAAAACAAGTTTTAAAGATCAGCCACAATGATCAAGAACTGTCAGGACAAGCATTGTCAAATGTGTTTAATGACTATTATGTAAGTCTAGTTAAAGAACGTCCAGAGTCAGATGCTTGCAAATATATAAATGCTCGAAATAATGAATCCATGTTTCTTAGGCCTGTTACGGCTTCAGAGGTAATATCTGTCTTTAATGCAGGGCTGGGCGTCGATTAAAAATTTCAACCCGATTAATCGCCACCCTTTAATCGATTAGTTAATTGATTACTCGGTTGCGTTAAGTTTTATAAATAATATATTCAAAAAGATTGCAACTCTTGTTGCCTTTGGAGACTTATTTTACTTTTTGTTACACGGCGCAAAGGACATTTAGAATTGGGAATACATATAGTTCAACAATTCAAAGACACATATTTTTGCTCCAGCTCCGTAGACAAAGAAGTTTGTCCACATTCTCCGACAGGAAGACAAAAAGCAGGATTTGGGCGATCCTTTCTTTTTTTCGGAGAAAGGAATCTCTATGGAGAAGGCGTTGATTGCTGTCACCGTTCTGGCGGGTGTCCTTGCTGCAGCTGCATGAGTGCTTCGCTTGTAGGCGATACTGAAGCGAACTTACGCTTTTACTGTACGAAAAAGGCTTTTTTCAGATGATGCAGTGGACTTCCTTCCAGTTAAAAACTTCCGGAGTTTACTTTAAACCGCTGGAGTTTACTTTAAACCCAAACTTTCCAGCGAAATTGCCTTTTATACTTTGAAGTCGTCCATTTTACGTGCCGAATACTGGAACAAGTAACGATGGCGTTGTTAGCTTCCCAGCTTGTTTTTCTGCTTGTTTGTCTTGCCCGGGCAGGATGTGTAATAGATCCTCAACACGTGAAGTTCCGCGGTCACGCGGGGATCAATTGCGGGCCCGGCTTGTTCGTCTGGCGGTCTGACCTCGGCAGAACTGTAATGTATATCCTCGAACACGTGACGCTTCGCCAGCGCGAGAATTGAACCTTGCTCATAGCACCTGGCTGTGAGCGGACTTTTTAGGGGCGAAGCCCCTTAGGGTCTAGCCTTGTCCGTCCGGCGTCCGCGCTCCCCTCGATTGCCATTCCTACTGTCTTCTTAAAAAAAGAAAAAAAAAAGTTTGCGCAGTCGACAGGATTCGAGCCTGTGCGGGGAGACCCCAGTGGATTTCTAGTCCATCGCCTTAACCACTCGGCCACGACTGCGGGACGAGTAGGGGGCTCTGAGATGTGGTAGTAACTCAAAAGCTGGGGATGTCATGGATGAAACATGGCATGTAGCCGCTCAACGTCTATACAGGAGAGGGCGCTGCGGTCGAATGCGTATATAATCGCGTTAAACTTTGCATGCATTGGCTCAACGTTTATAGGCGAGAGGGCGCTGCGGTCAAATGCTCAAATGCTTATATAGCCACGTTCCATACCACACATTCTCTTTCTGACATCGATGAAAACGAACAAAAAGCTCGGCATGGTGCGGCTCAGCGTATCAGGACCCCCAGAGCTTCGCCCCAATCAACATCATTCACTACGTGGAGATGCAG